TCCTTTCTTTCTTTCTTTCTTTCTTTCTTCATTTCTTCCTTTCTTCCTTCCTTCTTTCCTTTTTCTTTCTTTCTTCCTTTCCTTTTTTCTTTTGCTTCTTTCTTTTCCTCTTATTTTTTCTTCTTTTCTTCTTTCATTCTTTGTGCTTCTTTTTTTCTGTCCTTCTTTCTTTCTTTCCCACTATTTTGTATTGATCTTTTCCCATTTTTATCTTTTAAATGTCTCTCAATATTTTTCCATTCACTTGTTATCTTTACGAAATAAGATCTCCAAATAATTCTGCAGTAATTCCTCTATCTTAAAACGCTTTTACTTACCTACCCAACAGATCCAACCACAAATCTCTAAAACTCACAAATCTTTGATCTACCTTGCAGATCTCAAGACAACTAGAGGGACTATGTAACGCAGCTGCTGTATACTGTTCCCAGCCTGACGAGAAACGATTTGCAGCCGAGTCAAAAGCCAGTGAATAAGCACTCAACCAACAACCAATAAATATCGATTAGAATCACTAGAATACCGGACTTTGACATATTGTAAAAAAGTCGTAAGAGTGCCACTATTCGTGCTCCGAAAATCTTGCTCCATCAAACAGCTTTAATGTTTCAATAAAATGTAGTATGTTCAATTGAATCTGTCTGACTATCTGACTGTCTGTCTGTCTTTCTGTTTGTGATCAAGTTCAAATACCTTAGGCTGTCTGTGTCCCCTCTTTTGGTACGTTTCTTTCCATCCTGCTCTGGAACTTTTACTCTTTTGCCATTGGATATTTCGATATAACTGAAGCGAAAATGGGTTGGTCTCAATAGTATTGAAAGCACAAAGCATGTAGTGCTTACATAAATGTAGAGATCTTCCAAAAAGTGGGGGTAAAATTTATGCCAAAAAAATGGGAGGAAGGTGGGTTGAAATTTTGAAAGAAAAAAGGGTGGAAATGGTTGGGTCTCATTAATATTGACAGCATAAAGCATATGGCGTGACATAAATGTAGAGATCTCCTGAAAAAAACAGGGGAAGAATTTGTGCCAAAAGTATGGGAGGTGGGTTGAAATTTTGAACGAAAAGAAGAGTGGAGCATTATTTCTTAGACAGCATGGAACAGACTCGGCTATAAAAGGTTTAAAATACAATTTATAGTTTATTAAGGTTTACTGAGGGTTTTTTTCAGATTTAATATATGAGTACAAAAATACATGAAACTGATAATTGTACTGAGAGTTAACTAATAATATATCCCCAAGAATAGGGGTAGAATTCATGCCCAAAGTATCGAAAATCAGTATAGGAAATATTATGATTCCAGAAAAAGGGCAAGTGTTACTGATAATAATGGAAAGTTAGAAAATACAAACCTACGTAAGCTTAAGGTAATCCCAAAAGGGTGGGTGGTAGTAGATAAAGGAGGGATTGGAGTTGAGAAAGTTATGCCAGGAAAGAGCCATATGACTATAAGAATGACTGAAAAGTACACAAGAAAGGCCTATTGCGGTCTAACTGCTTTTCAGATTAGTTCCATGTACTCTCAGTACATTTTGATAGAATAAGCAGACAAGGATCCCTTTAATGCCCAAACACTTACTCCTTAGACAAAGGTTCTGCCGGTGTGTGGACATAAAGAGTTTATTCTTGATATTATGCTTGCTATCATTGGTATAGATGCCTAAGAGACTTTCGCTTATAAACCAGGGGATTGCCAAGATTGTGTGGGTGGGAGTGGGAATAGAGTACTCAAGTAGTGACATCACAAAAATTAATTTTCGCTTGATTATTTGGTTAACAAATTCGATAGACAATCAGAAAAGACATTTACACACCAAATTTGACGAGAATTGGACAAATATCAGCTGAGATATGACCATTTGAATATATAATTACTCCATATGAGTCACTGTATTTTCGGCTGGGTTCCAAACGTCTTTTTTGATTGTCTATAGAAATTAGAGATCGAAAACAATTAAAGTCAAAATTCATTTTTGTCGTGACGTCACACTTGAGTACTCTATTAGGGGCAATCTAGTAGATGTAGAGAATATATACCCCTACTTTAAAAAAGCTACATGACTGTAAGTGGCATATGGCATAGCGAGATTCCCAGAGCTAGAGAAAATTGGAGGGGTTAGGGTTAGGGGGGGCCATTTGTAAACCCTTGATTCCCAAACTTCATTGTCTCCCTACCCTACCCTACTGATGGCCATATTTCCCCCCAAATTTTCAGAGAAGTGCGCGCACGTGACATCATGAGCGCCATGTTGGATTGACCTAACAGTATTGGTTGACTGAGTGTGTTGTCTGGTACAAAATAACGTTCAATAGCTTGTAGTATTTCTCTTGGGAATGCTTGCATGACATCAAGAACACGAGCAGGTTTTGTTTTAAGCTGTATATTTAAGTAAATACTGCTAATCTTAAGTCTATTAAATTGAAGTATCTCGGCTTTCTTAAACTTAATTCTGAAGGGATTTGTTGTCAGTCCTTAGAATCTTACCTGCGATTCCAATTCGCTTTAAAATGATTTCAAATCGAATCTTAAAGTTTAAATAATCGCCGAGAGAGTTCAAAAGGGTGTAAGCTAAAAGATTACTAGTGATATTTACCTGTTTTTAGCCCGGTTGCGATGGAATAACCGACTTAAGTCGAATAAACAAGTCAGATTCAGTCAGGCAACCCTTTAAATGCATACTACATAATGAGCACGTGCGCGTGAGAATGTTTGAAAGAATTGATTATAGAAAATAACCATGGGATGAAAATGAAAACACGGCAAAAATAATAAGAGAAAGGATCATTTATTTTCTATGTTTTATTCACTCTTAACGTAGACATAAAATTTCGTGACTGAACCAAAAAATATTTTTCCATCACAAATTCTTCAAACTTTTACAACTATACTGAAAATTTCCAATACAAAAATCTGAATTCAAAAATACACTTAACAATAATAAATAAATTGGATGTGAAATGCTCATCTTAATATAATGATTGACATGCCTTCACTCCGGGTTTCTATACACAGCCATTAGATACGGAAAGAGTGTTCCATTTATGGGTTGCCCTTTAGGTAATATGTCCAGGTAACATTACCAGCACCGCCTGTGCTCCTTGGACAAGATATCATTAGTTTGCCCATACGCGGTGCCTTGGATGTCCCTTGACCCGCCTCAAATCCAACAATGATATTATGGATCTTTTTGGCGCGAATTGTCTCGCTGGCCTTGACAACGAAGCACGGGTTATCCACACAGAACTGGAACTGTGTAGTACTAGAGAAGACATTTTTAAAAGGAATCGAGGTTGTTGCTCCGTTCTTGATCGAGTAAGGGCCTTGGGGTTTAGGAGGCGAGCAGTGTCCGAATAGAGGGAAGATATATTCACCCCCTACAGGAGAGACCACGGTAAGTTTTGCCCGTGTGTCCCCTAGACGAACAGGCTCGTACGTCACATCTACTCCAACCTCTGTGCCTCCACTTGATGCTGAGGCTGCTGTTATGCTCTTCTCAACGTGGAAGTCGCTGCTATCAACCTGGAATAGAAAAACGATTAAGAAGATGAGCGCGCTTCAACGGGAAAACAACAGATGATCTAATATATGCACAGGGCAATTATTAACGTTCCTCGCAAAGGGGGGTGGATCTTTAGACGCATGTACACGAAGAAAATTATAGCGCAAATCCTCGTGGTATGCTATCAGGCATCAACATTCTGCGAAAAACCCTTTCAAATCGTTGCACAAATGCTTTTGCCCTTTTAGCGCAGCTGATGGCACAGAGTAACTTCAGAAGCACAGAAATCTGTACTCCTAGTAGAGGAGACTGCTCTTCCTTTTATACATCCTTGCAAATCGTTGCACACATGTTTTTGCTCTTCTAGCGCAGCTGATGGCACAGAGTAACTTCAAAAGCACAGAAATCTGTACTTCTAGTAGAGGAGCTTTTAAAAGGAAGAGTTCGGTCATCTTTGACTGCTCTTCCTTTAAAAATTCATAGGCCAATGCTAGTTATAGTTATCATGGTCATAACATACCTTGCAAGAGTATTCCACCTTAGACTTAGCAAAGCTGACGAATCGACAAGACTGGACTTGACTCACTCCGAAGTTTGTTCGGAAATGCACAGGAGCTTCAGGTCCAGCAGGGGTGGCAGTCAGGATCAGATCGTACTGATAGGAACCAAGCTCAGAACTGGTAAAGGACAGCTTACCAGGCATGGAATCACCTGCCTTTAGGGGTAGGTACTCAAACATACAAGAACCCTGGTACAAAAAATAAAATAAAATAAAATAAAATAAAATAAAATAAAATAAAATAAAATAAAATAAAATAAAATAAAATAAAATAAAATAAAATAAAATAAAATAAAATAAAATAAAGTAAAATAAAATCTGTCAAATCTGTCAATTGTGGTTGTAGGTGCTCGTAGTAAAACAAATATCAATTCCCTGGTAGGGCACTAATTAAATATAACTAGTCAGTAACGCGCATTTAAAAATGGAAATATTTCCGAGGAATATAAGAAATTGCATGAGCTCTGTGTTTGTTTAACAGGTCCTCTCCAATCCCGCAACATTCCATTGAGTATTACAACTTTCTTTTCTGATAAACCTCAAAGGGATTAGATGTATTCTCGTGAGATATGTTTTACCCAAAGTAAAGACCTAAACATTCTTAGATGGAATAATAAATACCTCAGATAACGGAGGGACAGTAAAGCTTGGTGGCAGCTGCACGTCTGATACAGAGCACTGACAGTTAAAGCCAACGGGTGTGTTGAGAGGGTTGTGTAGAGTCACCACGTGGGAAGTGCTTTTCCTGACAGGAGTAGAGAGTTCTATGGCAGACATGACACCAGGTGCTGTTGCTTTGAAGCTGACATAATAGAACAAGTATTCGTTGCTCTGTTCGTTACGGAAGATTACCTAAACACAGAGAGCAATGGGACGTAATTAGAATCATTACGAGTGGAGTGTAAAGACTTTATCCATGAAACAGTAGGTAAATCTGTTTTACATTCAAAAGTCAAGAAATAGAAAACTTGTGCAGTTCTGCTGATCCCCGCATGTTTTATATCTGCACCTACACTGCGCACATGCTATGTACAGTTCTGCTAATSCCCGCATGTTTTATATCTGCACCTACACGTGCACACATGCTATGTACAGTTCTGCTAATCCCCGCATGTTTTATTTCTGTACACTACTTGCGCGCGCAGTTATGTGAAGCTTTGCTAATGCCGCGTGATTTAGATCTGCATAGTGCAGTTTTCGTATGACCGTGAAAAGTTCACGGCACGAACACAGTCGTGACACGGCAAGGGATACGCCAGACCAATAACATTGCACGAGAATTTACTCTCCATCCAATCAAATACCCAGAACACAGCATAAACACGGCGCGGACACGGTCACGCCAAAATCACGGCACTTTTAGACCAATCATATTGCGCGTGAAAAAAATCAGCCAATTCAAGTTCTAGCAAGTATGACGGTCACGGCACGTCACGCTTACGGCACTGAGCTTTTCACAGTCATACGAAAACTGCACCACTACACACGCACGTGCCATTATATTATTTTATATCATTTTGTCATATTGAAATAGTAATTAACATAGCAGTTATATCATTGCTCATTTTCCTTGAGTATAAAATTTCTCGTTTGATACTCAACCATACAGATGTTTACCTCAAACGTTACTGATAAACAAAGAAACAATACTCGAGGGAATGACAAAGTTTCCAAGACGTGAAAATGGTGGATAAGGTCCCATAAATTCTTACCCTTGAGCTAAAGGTACCCTCTTTGTGCGCAAAGAAGCTCAGTTTATAGTCTCGTTTGGAGAGGCCAGGCACGTCGATGTAATCAAGACCCTTGATGGTGGTAGCGTTGTCTGGTTTTTCTGGTTTGATCATTTCAATGACTACACGGAACCTAGCAGAAAAACGTAAAGGGCAAAATGGATTCAAACAACTAGACAATTATTTATTAATAGTAATATGTGCATCAACTTTGTTTGTAATATTATTGCCATTGTTTCTATATATTGTGTACAGATACTGCTGTCGTTTCTGTTTCATGCTTCTGTTCTTCATGGTGTATTTGTTGTTGCATTTGTCGTCGTTGCTGTTGTTATTAGCGACCTTGGGTTTTCAAAATCTACGGTGGCGACGTCAACCGGAAGTGTAAGTTATTTCTCTATGGGGTTCTGTTCATTGGAGATTTCATTCAAAACATTGTCAGTAAAACTAAACTCATCCAAGAGGGAAGGCAGACTTTGAAAGTAAAGTTTTTTACACTTCTTGTCGCCGTCGTAAACTTTGAAAAGCTTAAGGTCGCTATTGATGTTGTTGCTGCTGTTGTTGTTGTTATTGTTGTTGATGTTGTTGTTGTTGTTGCTGCTATTGTTGTCTTCACTGTTTTTGTTGTTGCTGTTGTTGTTGCTGCTGTTGTTCTTGTTGCTGTTGTTGCTATTGTTGTTACTGTTGTTGCTGCTATTGTTGTTGTTGCTGTTGTTGTTGCTATTGTTGTTGTTGCTATTGTTGTTGTTTTTACTGCTTTTGTTGTTGTTGCTGCTGTTGTTGCTGCTATTGTTCTTGTTGCTGTTGCTGCTGTTTTTGTTTTTACTGTCGTTGTTGTTGCTGTTGTTGTTGCTGCTATTGTTCTTGTTGCTGTTGTTACTACCGTTGTGTTGTTGCTGATGCTGATGCTGCTGGTGTTTTTGTTTTTGTCTTTGCAATTTCTGTTTCAACTACTATCATCTACTGTTATCTATCCGTTAACAATGACATGTTTACCTCTGAGGTCTTCTTAGCCAGTTGGACACAGTAAGCAGCTCAGTATATGGAGTTTTACACGGCACATCCCTCAAGATGTTATTGACGGGTTTGGGACCTTCAGCAGTGCCTGTTATGTTGTACAGTAAGCCACTACCATCTGGTAACGGGAAAAACACTGAACCCTGCAGGATCAATAATGACATACACTAAGTATTATGCTTTTCCTTAACTATTCATTTATTGCATTTAGATTAGAGAACATAGCCTTTCAGCACTTTCATTTCAGCTCTTCTAATGGGTTGCTTGCATGAAGGCGCCATTGTATTACCACTACCAGAATGCTTCACGAGATAAAATTGGTGGTAATTGTCTCAGGAAAGTGTGCAAGGGATTCTGGTAGTGTAGTAAAACACTAATTGCATGTTCTGAAACTAAGGAATTTTACTGCAAAATATATAAATCTTGATGTATCGTGTTAATATCGATACCTTGAAACATGTTCCAGCCTGATCTAAGTCATGGCATGGTATTTCACGGACATTCTTTATTCCATTAGGAAAACTACCCATTGTTTGTGTGGACACTCAAGCATAGCCAGGATCGTTCTATACCTGACTTGGTTACTAACCGTGTGTTTCTTGCCTTCTGATGTCATGACTATAGGTCTGTACGTCAGTTCATAGTTCTTACTCTGCTGTGGTTCAACAGTGATGGAGTCTGGACCCGACCAATGTTCACCCTCGATCACAGGCCGCAGCATCCACAGCTGATTGGTTCGATTATGAATCACGAGGTTACGAGTTTCACGCGTGCGCACATGGGTGGTGAAGTGGAGAACCTAGCATAGTTACAATAGTAATCTGTATTAAAGCAAGGTCAAACAAAAGGGACAACATAGGGACACGCAGTTAGAATTCTTCCGTCCAACAACTTCATGATCTTCTGAAACGCAAAACTTGCTTTCACATCGCTCTAACAAGCGTATTTAAAGTTGGTGACAATGCAAGTTATTTACCAAGATTTGTTAGAGCTGGTTTGTAAACGATAAATGAATATGTTTGCAGTACCTCCTTTAATGGCGTCTGTGACACACAGCTCCCTGTCAACACTAGTTTCAGTGGTTTTGCACCCTCAATTGCACACCGAAGTCCCTAAGAAAATAGCAGAAAAAAGAATTTAGGATTGGCGTTGATTCATATCCCAGAAGGCCCCCCTCACGCCCCCTTAATCTGATATCATTGAGGACCGTGGTAGGATAGAATAAGTCGGGAATGGTACATCCATTTCATGTGATATGACCCTTTTATGGGTCTGATACCTCTTATCCCACACCCGCCCTTAAAACTGAATTCTTAATAGTTCTTACCTCGTATATAATATCATTGGGGACCGCGGTAGGATGGTATAAGTAGGGAACGGTACCTCCATCCCAGGTGGGATGTACCCTTTAGCAGGACTGATACTAATGCCTCCTCTCCCTCAAACACACCCTTAAAACTGAATTCGTAATGGTTCTTACCTCGTATCTGATATCATTGAGGACCGCAGTAGGATGGAAGGTGATCTGGAAAGGTACCTCCATCCCAGGAGAGATGTATCCTTTAGTAGGACTGATACTGAAGTCTGGCGCGAACTTCTCTGCGTTCCACGCAAAGGCTGCGCCCACATCACCAGTATTGTGCATGATGAGCTGCCTTGTGCTTCTGCTACCGTACATGACGGCGCCAAAGGGTACAGAGTAGTTATCAAGGGTGATCTCGATGCCCTGACAGGAACCTGTTATCACGAAGATTGGGATGGACATACCAGCACATTCTAGCATTACCTGTAGAGGAAGAGGAGGTTAGCACATCTTATCCTGAAGCCAACGTAACAGCATTATTCAGAAAATGGATGGATAGATGGATGGATGGATGGATGGATGGACGGAGGGATGGAGGGATGGGATGGAGGGATTGGATGGAGGGATGGATGGATGGATGGATGGAGGGATGGAGAGATGGAGAGACGGAGGGATGGGATGGATGGATGGATGGATGGATGGATGGATGGAAGGATGGATGGATGGATTGGAATTGGAAATTGGAAGAATGCGTTTGGAAAGATGGATGAATGGATAAATATAAGCCATGTCTCGATACTCTGCACACCAACAAAGACATCAACTCACCTCCTCAGTAAACTGTGGTATGCGTACTTTAGGACAGAATGAGATCTCCACATTACCCGTCCCTCCATTAGCACGTAAAGTGATTTCATTGGTAGGTTGAATAGAGATGACATTAGGCTGCTGTAGCTGTACAGTTGAAGGTGTGACTGCTACAGTGAAGGAAATAGGAGCGGGACTCCTATTGATTAGCTTGACTGTCTTATGACTAGTCTGACCAATGCGTAACGCACCAACGCTGACTTTCTTGTCAGAAGGGTTGGCAACCTCGACCTGGTAAAACAAACAAAGAACACGTGACTTTGGCCAATCAACTTCCGCCAATCTGTGACACAATTTAGATCTGAAAACGAGACTGCGCGCCAGAACTAACAGCATTGACAAAGACTGCTGGATGGGTTTCGAAAGTGGTGAGTAAGGATATCTTTTAAATTTTTAAATATACAAAGGCTACTTTGGAAAGATGGAAGGACTGGCAAATGAGTGAGTGCACTAGAAGACTAAACGTGGTTGAATGTCTACTTTTGATTTGAATTTGTATGCTCAATTTTATAACAAACAGAAACTTCACAAAGACAAGCAAGTAAGCATTCAAGCGAACGCACGAACAAACAAAGGAACAAACAAACAAGTGGGCGCGCTTTACGCAAAGATTAGGAAGGCAAACATGAAGGCATCAGAACTTAATAGATGCACGCGTATCAACGATCATTGGTTTTGGCTTTTCTTAATCAAATACTATTTGGTCTCATTATCTGTGCAAATAATTAGGCGTGAATAAAAAACTTTTATAACCAACCCAATAGGCGTGATAAATCCACTAGATTAGTGTGAGAAGAACGGAAATGATAATGTGTTATGTACCTTCATATCAGTTCCTTCACCGAATACTTCAACGTTCATGGTAGACAAACCATTGATCTCAAAAGGGATGGTTTCATGATAGTGTTTAGGTTCTCGTGGGTAGAAAAGAAACTCTACTTCCATGGTGTCGTCTGGTGCTAGTACACCAGGGTCGGAGTGGACCTCTAGATATGCTGTATTCTCATAATGACACTCAACACTATGGAAAGACAATTACAATTATGATACTAGTATTCTGTTTTGGAGATTAGCTCGATTTATAGCATATCTGTTTTAATCTTGTCTATGGAATAATCCCAAGGGATTTTTCTGTCTTATGAACCAATGACATATAATTCCAGTCAACTTGTTAGGAAAAGAGGCGCAACTGAACTGAGTCTTTGAATCGTTTCGTTTAGTGTGGAATCAAGACATTTTGTTCCAACTATTGCCATAGAACTAATTGCGTTGGATTGCGCACGCGTTTTATTCCGTCAAAACACTGGCTTGAGCATTTGCGCGCGCTTTTTCATAAAATTCTACTGAACAATTTGACTTATGGTGGCATAAAACAACGATATCCATACGTCATGTGTTCAAATCCTCTCTGTCTCGTATGCATCAGAGATGAAAGACCGTTTTATCTTATGCGACCAGAAAGCGCTATGTAGAAGAAAAATATGTGTTTTGTGTAAGTGTTAACATTATAAAGCAAGGAAGCACAGTACATCCTAGCGACCATTTGAACATTCCCAAAGGTAGTTGGACTGTATAGCCCATACTCATGGAAGTCAAACTTTTTGAGACAAGTTTTACCTTATGTCTTTCTTGTCCTCGTTCTTTATGAACAGCGTCGTCCTGTGTAGTGGCATGCCTGCGCGATACAGGAAACATGGTCCAAAGTCATGCTTCAGGAACGAGAAATGAAGACCTGGTTGAGCTCCACTTCCGGTGACGCTGATGTTAAATGTAGGACCATTCGTTATCTAGGGGAGAATATATAGAAGGCATTAGTAGCGATCAAAGTAGAAAACAATTCTTTATCTTTTGATAAAAATTTGCTTGCAGTCTAAATTTCTGTATTTTTTCAGTTGTTGTTTTTGTGACGATCTTACTTATGGCACGGATACGCGATGAGATGCGTGCGAAGTTTAAGTTTAGCGACGAAGATCGCACTGTGTGTCCTTTGCAAAGTTATCACTGCGAAAATTTACATTCATCTAATGAAGATATTTCGACACGGCTAGGTAAGGCATATCAGTACCGTGACTTTCTCATAGACATAAGGAATCTGCCCTTAACTCTCTCTGTGACGTCACCTACAATAATACTTTTGACCATACCCGCATACAAAGGCATGGGGCTTAAAGTAATGGCTGATCAGTCACTGGTCATGATCACAGGCCAATAGTTTTAGCTTAGTCATATCTCATTTCTTGCTAAAACGTTACTGGTCAAAATGACCGGCAAGGCAAAGATTTGACGTCCCACTTCCCACTTCTGGCCGGACATTGTCCGATGTACGGCCGTTATTTTTAAAGGCATCTCTATGTTTCTATGTTATGTAAGATTTAGAACTTACCCTGAGCAGTAAATCACACCCTTGTAACAACAGCCGAGAAGGTGGACAGAACACCAACTGGCATCGTTTACGTGAATTAGATGGTACAGTACCAGCTTCAGGTGTTATGGAGAGGACCGGTTCAGCAGCATTTAGTCGGTGTATCCCTTTGACTTTTGTTCGATTGGTCAGCTCCCATGAGAAGTCAAAGTTGAATTTACCCGAGTTGACAACAAACAGGGATCGAATAACCTTTTCATTGATCTCAACCTGGAAGAGCAAGCGGTAGATTAATCATGATATTGAATATTAGGTCGCATTAGGATTGAAAAAAAAGTCAGTTCGCTGCATTCGGCATATGATTTCTTGTTCAACGATATCTAGCCTTTTGACCACATAGATGTTAAAGAACCATCTGAAAGTGTCCAAATATGTTAATGAAGTTTCATTTCATTATAACTAGAAAGACAAAACGTTTGTATCTGCTTTTTTAATCTATTATAATGACATATATTTTCATGTGTTAATGAACAATGACTTGCTGTTATGTTAAGTACAGTTTTTCATATTCTTTTTCATCTTATATCTGTTTAACCCCTTTGCTCTCCTGCCTTTTCTCTTACCCTCCATCTATTTTACCCTTGAATACACAAGTCAACATCTTACCTCTCCAAGGTTAATCCTGTTAGTTCCTTTAGCAGTGAGAGCCACTCTGTTGCCCAGTGAGTCCTCACAGTACAGCTGTGCATTCATGGAATAGCCTTCTGCTTTGACGTTCAGAGTCAGGGGTGTTGTCTTCTTTTTCACTTTACAAAGTACATTGAAGTTGACCTCCTTTTCGACAACAGCAGAAAATGATATCTCGATGGGAAGCCTAAAGGGATTATTGGATGTTAGTGTGTGAATAAAGAGAAAGAAAAATTGATAGGAAGGAAGGAAGGAAGGAAGGAAGGAAGGAAGGAAGGAAGGAAGGAAGGAAGGAATAGCAAAGGAAATGGTACTTATATCGAAGACCTCTGATTTTTCTTGCTAGCTAACGAACGAGGCACTAGAAACGAGTATGCACTCAATGAAAAGGAACTTCCAGTAAGCAACTTACCGTGACTTGGGTTCAATGGTTCCTGCCATTGGTTCCACAGCTAAACTTGACGCATATCCATCTGTGTGCAGGGATTCTTCTTTGAACGAGAAGCTAAAGGCCTTGTCCTCTTCATTAGTAAGGAAGACTGTCTGATTGACTGGATGTCCTGAATATAAACAGTAAGGGAAAAATGAGATGTGGGTACCGCTAAATAACCCCTTTCCCTCAGATGTCCAAATGCTCCACACTGGGTGTCCATAGTGGCTACGTCTATGCACTATTACGCTTTATAACATAGCCACGATATATTGCGTGCTCTGATTGGTTAATAAGCGTGAGTGAACGTGCATTCAGAAATGAATTGTGCACGCTGACGTGATTTTTTTTTTTTGATAAACAAATGCTTTTTACGTTTTACTATGTTATAAAAGCAATGGTAAATGCTTAGTTGTGCGTATATCCAGTTCTGGATGCACTTGGAAGGTTGCTTAAGCACCCAAGAAGCAGAGCTGCACTTGGCTACGCCTCGTGCGACTCTTACGCAATGCATTCAGACCTAGACATACGCACGCTAAGCATTGACCATTCATTAATTTTAGCATACATGAAGATAAAGGGTACATCCATATATATCTGCAGTTGGACTTTTTTTCGTTTTGGAGATATTTAAGGAAAAAATCCTGGACAAAGAAATCTACTGACCTACAAGAATCTCCCTGAAGTTAATATGCGACCTATCAAATGATAGAGCCGGCTCAAAGGTGTGTCCAACCAGTATAAATGGAACAGAGATGTTGTGCTCAGGGATGTAGAACCTCCAGAATGACTCGACTAAGTCTAGTGATTCAGACACATATTCGAAGACGGTCTCTGCTTTCTTGCCACTGTGGATAGCCCCATGAGGGGTGAGGCACCGGAAATTACACTGGTCAGGGGGGTTACCATCTAGGGTGTCTTCGTTGGTCCAGGTGAAGGTGTAGGAAAGGTTGGTTGGATTGAACACGAAGAAACGCCTAAAATTGAACAATAGTTAACACAAGATGACCAGAGATAGAGGAGCCAGAAGTTGGAGAGGGGGGAGGGGTTGGTGGGGGCTAGAGGAGTGGCACGTTCTGTACGAAAAAAAAGACATGAAAGAGTAGTCAACCTTTTTTTTAGCGAAAAGGCTTATAATAAGATTAATTGTTTGCAACCATTGCCATTAGAGTCAATAGGCAAAAAAAGAAAAAAAAAAAGAAAAAAAAAAAAAAAAAAAAAAGGGAAACTAATGAGAAGTCTTTTGTTAAATACCACCAATATAGCAGTGATAATTGTAGTTCTCGAAGCAAAGAATATTGAGAGTATTTTTTAACACTGGAACTTCGTAACTCAAAATAGACTAAGTATTAAAGGGACTTACATCATGTTCTTTACTTTGACACCACAAGACTTAAACTCAACCACTCTAGTATTCTGGTCGAGGGTGGATCCGGGGGGAGCCCCACGAGGTCCTGGAAGCTCCGGATTACGTCTTCCCCCTGATATGTAATCTGAGTCCGCGAGTTCAAAGTGTGCATACGGTAAGAGACCACGCCCTCGAATTGGAATAGATACGGTTTCCTTGCCAGGCTGGGCATTTGACAGACTGAAGAGTATAGAGAAGACGTTTGTGTTAGTAAGTATATAAAGAATAATGTGCTACGTTTTCTGTTTTATAACTGTTTTCCGTTGTATAACAATCCTTGAAAGTTTTCAGACGTTTTCGAAGCAATGAACTAGGAGTTTTAGATCTATTAAAACGAAAAAGGTTGTTTTTGAGACTATGGTAGGTTGGGTGTTGGAGTTACACTTCCGAGAAAGAAATTTATTTTGCACGTGTAAAAACAAACATTTCTAGACATGTAAAGATTTTCAAATTTTATGATCTCTGAAAATATATCTGGGAGCATTACTGGCTTCATGAGCGGAAAGGAAGGGGGTGGCATGTGGACCAAAAATCTAAAGACTTAAAAAACTGATAGCTTCAATTGTAACTTATTACCTAAATATCAATGTGCTCTCGTAGTCCATCACATCCAGAGGTGCGAACCTAGCTAAAAAGGTTGCTTTCTTCCCAGGAGGAATAGAACCATTCTCTGGTTCAATAGAGAATGGAAATATGTCAGCGCCTCCCTCACTAACGATGCTGCCAGCTTCATATGCCAATGCTAGTGCACTTGCCGGTCTACCACCCATGGATGATGCCGGTCTACCGGATGGTTGCGCCTTGGAGGGGTCAATAGAGGAGTACCCAGTGGCTGTGGTACTTGGTCGTGCTGTTTGTTGGCTGGTAGAGCGTCCACCTGGGGTAGAAGTCCTTTCTGTAGTGGCTACTGGTACTGGAGCATCTGGTAGACTGACAGTCTTTGCACGACCAAGACTCTCAAATGCCCAGTGGAAGTCGAACTGGACTTCACCTTTATTGGCCACAGTGAAACTGAGATCAAAAGTATAAAGCCAAGTTATTTGACATCATAAAACTATTAGAGTTCAAAAGAATGAAAAGTTTGATGCTAGAATGTAGGAAGCACTTGTTCAACACTTATGTTTTTGGTAGGTAGGAAGGAAGGAAGGAAGGAAGGAA